GAGGTGAATTGCATTTGTAGAAACGTGTGGGTCCTAAGGATCAATTTATTAATAAGAATTAAAAAATAAGTTTGGTGGCTGCTCCAACTGCCCAAAGAGATATGAACGAACCCACATGGACTTTATTTAATTTACTAAATCTTTTTCTAAAAAGTTAAAAAGGAAAATTATTGAATCCGATAGCTTGCCCAATCCAACACCATCATTCCACACTTCTCATTTGATGGCAGACACATCTTCTTTCTTTTTTAATCGCCTCTATACAATATTCGAATATTTTTATTTTCATAACATGAATGGACCATAAAAAAATTTTAATTTTTTTGAAGGTTATAACATTCATTTAATTAGGTTGGCACTAATTGACCCTATTAATTTTCACAAGGGTTACTTCAAAAATTTTTACATAAAAATGTAACAAATTTACCAATAATTTTTATACTATCTCCACCAAAAAAATTGAAAAAATAAATAAATAATCAAGTACCTTCATATATAACTGCTAACGTGAATATCTTTCGGGTCAGTTCAAGTTTGTTTAATCATATATACCAGATCTATCGTGCACAAGCTGATAGTATAAACAGAAGAAAAATAATTGGGCATGTAACAAAAGTAAGTTCTTTCAGTATACTTACCAAACAATTGAGAAAAACTTTTGAGATTCTTCATCAATCTACGTATGCCCTTGGAGAAAAGTGGTTTTGGAAGAGCCAAGCATCCTCTCGTTTTCTTCATTGATTTCTCTCTTGAAGGCTTTCCCTCTCCCTCCGTTTGTCCTTAAAATGAAGACCACAAATCAAACAGCCAATATGAGAATAAACTTCAACTATATTTTCACTCTAATATTATGTATATTGTGTAGAGATCGAAAGAGAGAGAGAGAGAGCACATATACTTGTTACAACCACACTTGAGTCTGTGTATTTCTTTTCAGGTAATTGTGTGGTGCTAACTTCAACACTTGTGTCAGAATCACAGCCGAAGGAGAATGGAATTAGTGCAAATTTTTCCATACGATCTCTCATTTTTTTCAAAACATATGCAAAATCAAGCTTCAACCTCACAATGAAGAGAGATCAGAGAGAGAGAGAGAGAGTAAATAAGTATCCAAGTATAAACATCTGTACTTGTAGTCTTATATCAGACTTTTGGCTTCGTAAATAAGATAGAATGATTCTATTTCTAGAAATTTTACACACACACACACACAAAACAGTTTGGTGGGAAAAGTGATAAATGGGAGTGGGGTGGCATAGTTTGAGTCTTGTTTTGTATT